TATTAGGTATTTATTTTCAAGAATACAAATTAGTAAGTGTACTTCAGATCCCGGTGCTCACGGTGGTAGGGCCACGCAGCAGCCTCGGCTGTTACACGAATGGGCAGGCCCGTCCCGGTAAGTACCACGACCTGACAGAGGAACGGCGTAAAGTGGAAGTTTAATACTTTCGCGTTTCGTCTGGTGAGTGAGGTGGCCTGAGCCCAATTTACAAAAAGGTTGCCAACGCATCTGCAAACCCACGGGTGTAGCCACACCCGATGGAACTCGACACGTACCAACAGTCGAGGTATCGCACTCGACTCGCTATCCGACAGGCTCAACTTTGAAGTTGTAGCCCCCGTCGAACATACGCACTTTCCCTACATAGCGGAACACTCATCGGATGTGCTTGATATTGCAGTCATCAAAAACATCAGTCTCTCCATACGCGATCCAGAAGTGATACATGAGCTTCACTCTGATCACCGACCAGTTCTCCTTCGGCTAGGGCCCTCGGCAATAGCCGCCCCCCAAACCAAGACAGTCATTAGTTGGCATAAAGTAAAAACTAGATTCAACAAGCCCAATCCTCCGCTCTTGCAATCAATTCCCGACCAACTTAGTAACAAACAAGACACTGAAACAGCAATTCGGGCTCTCACGAGCCACGTCAACACCGTCGTCAAGCAATGCTCGAGACAGGTCCCAGCAATGGACGACCATCGCTGGGCCCTGCCAGACGATGTGCGTGACTTACTGAGACGCAAGAATGCTGCCACACGTGCCTACGATACATATCCCACCGACTCGAATCGCAGACTGCTACGTAAATTGCAGCGTGAAGTCAAAACACGCATAGCAGACTCACGAATCGGTGGGACTCCACCTTAGCCTCAATTAAACCGTCCCACCAAGCCTTCTGGAATCTTCCCAAATCCTTAAAGGGAAACTCCACTTTAAACATGCCACCATTAATCCGCCCGATAACGCCAGCAATGCTGGACGAAGAGAAAGCCGAATGCCTAGCTGACAGTCTAGAGTCCCACTGCGCCCCTAGTCTGCTTCCGGTCAACCCAGAACACCTCCGCAAGGTGAACGAAGAGGTTGAAAGGAAAGCTTTAGAGCCACTTCGCGATCCCGTTCCCCCGGTCACGTGCCTAGAACTAATAGAGACCATCAAAAAACTACGCCCACGCAAAGCGCCTGGCTCAGACGGCATCACCAATAAGGTGACCAAACTCCTTCCTGCTAGCATCCTTCAGATCCTAAAAGTTCAAGCCGGGGTGCCCCAAGGGTCAGTGTTGGGCCCAGTCCTATTTACGATCTACACCAATGACATACCGCGTGTCAAAGATGTAGAATTTGCCCTCTTTGCTGACGACACCTGTCTCTATACTACAGGCAGAACACCCGAAACGATCCATCGACGCCTTCAAACCGCAGCCATCACCATCGGTGACTGGTTTCGGCATTGGAGGATCGAGATCAATCCCGCTAAAAGCGCGACCGTCCTTTTCTCACATAAAAACTTAACTAACCCACCACCTCCCGTTAAGCTCATGGATAGTCCGGTACCATGGGTGAACAAAGTCAAATACTTAGGTGTCGTCCTCGACTCCCAACTTAAATTCAACCAGCACGTGACTCGGCTCAGGAACCGGGCGGCCTTCGCACTCAGCCGCCTCTATCCGCTCCCCAAAAAAATTCAAAAATGTCCCTTCGGAACAAGGTGACCTTAATAAGGCAGTAGTTCGCCCTATTATGACATACGCGAGTCCGGTTTTCGCACATATCGCCCCGAAACAAATACACCGTCTTCAGGTCATCCAAAATCGGTTCATGCGCAGAGCCACAGGAGCACCCTGATTCATGCGTAATATCGACCTACATGTCGATTTAGAGTTGCCCACCATCGCTCAATTCCTGAAGATACTTTGATTCCGCCGATTTTAGAGCGAGCTCTTGGTGTAGGATTCTGGCTACTAGGTTGTGTCTATGCAGATACTTAGAGTTAGAAAGCATGGAACAACCGGAGATAACATGCCGAAACGACTCCCCGGGATGGCGACAAGCTCGACGCATCGTTTGTCGAAAGCCCTAGGTTTTAATAGCAAAACGCATGTTGTTTACGTAACCCGGGAATGCTACCATGCACGTCTGACTATCCACCACTGAAAGATTTCATCGTATAATTTGGCGTTTATTTATTTATCTATACTTTATAAACAAACAGGTCACCATCCCGCCTTGGGAAAAGTGATCGCCATCCAGAAAAGTTTAGGTAGGTGCATAATAATAGTCCAAGTTCACATCACTAGGACGTTAACTATCTCAGTCCGGAGCATGTACTACCCGTGATTTCGAGTTACAGTAAAAAAAACCGCTAAAAAAACCGTAAGTTATCAAGTGTGTAATTAAAGAAGTTATTAAATGTAAAAAATGAGTTAATAGTAATGGTACCTACATGGGATAAAAACAATAGATATATCTTAAGTGTAACATTATAAATTAATTAAATTAATTCTGTACTGGGTAGAAGCTCCACTTTTAAAAACAAGTTTAAAAAATAAAGTTTATTTAAATATAACAATACCAAACTAATATATACAAATATAATCAACACGGATTACACATTATGATTCATATTAGATAAACAATGAACATAAAGCTGAACTGCTGTTTATTTTCGTTGAGTTCTATTATATTATTTAAGATTCACGTAAATAAACATAAGTATATAATTTAAAACTCTCGATGGTTAGAATCATAACAATTTTATGATTCTAACAACCGAGCTACCGTTTAACAGTTCTTCAGTTTATTGTGAGTTGTTTAAGGAAAGAAAAACAAAATTTGCATTACAATGGAGTTCCATTTAAAAATCACATCCGCTCTTTAGAAGTAAATTAATACCTTTTCATTCTAATTTACGCTGGTTTTCATGGTATAATCCTATGAAACATATCATATAATGAAGAAAAATAACATGTGAAGAAATAGCGGCGTAATAAAATACCATAACGTTTTTTTCTATACTAGATCATTGCTTTCTTTATTTTTTAATTTCCAAAATACACAATTTACCAAAAAAAAGGTCCTCCAGGTACTATATATTAATAAGACTAATTTGAAAATTCATGTTTTGAAGTAAAAGTGATATTGCGTTACTACTTCACGATTAATTATTTGTAGTCCCTCAATACTTTTAATTTTTTTTTACTTGAATTGTAGGTGGCACTCGATGGTGGATATACATTTATGACAATTCATTTCAAACAAAAAGAGCAATCTGAACTTAAAATAGTGGTGATGTATTCAATATTACTTTATTCAGTATGGTTATACTGAATAAAGAACTCAATATTATATCTAGAAAGATTTTACTTGTTTTGTTCTACATTTTATCTTCATTGTCATAATTATAATCTATTTAATCTCTGCGTTGATTGTTTTATAAATCGCAGCAAACAACATATTTATCAACACAAATATAATGTTATCTATCACGTTTAAAATTGAATTAGATATATTATCCTTTCTACCTCGTTGTGATAGGAAACGATTTCATATTACAATCAGTTTTGCTCCGTTGTTTATTTAATGTTTTATCATATTGTTACGTGTCATATTTAAAATACATTATAAATTATTTAAATGTATTCATAAACCATACCAAGATATGCGTTAGCGTTTCAAGCCAAGTGTGGTAGTGTGTAATGTTACACGAACAATTTGACCCCCTTATAACTCAAAAACTATTTCACATAAACATGTAAAGTTTGGCTCATATACTTGCGAGATACAATTGTGCTCCAAATTTCATAAACACATCTAAAACAGTTATTTAGATATTAACGTGGTAAAATCGTTATTTTTATCACTTACCTATAGACCATAACTTTAACTCAGTTCCAGATGACCTAGTAAGGTCAAAATTGGCATCCGGATGATGAATACAAAGGAATAAACAAAGGAACCGTCTTTTTTAGAATTTTTCACTTAATTGATTCCAATGACTTATTAGGAACATTTACTTATAGTGCCTGTAATGTATGAACCAGCAATAAAAATTGATGACACCCAGTTATTATGGGGATTTCAAGGTCTTCACATGAACATGTAACGAATGAAATCCCACCTTTAGGTTTTTAAAGCAAACATCACTTTTTGTACTTATAACTTGAGAATTATTCTCTTGGCTAGAAGTAGTATACTCTTTCGACTTTCATATTTATTATTAATGGCGATTTAGTCTTATTTTATATTTTAATATTTTATAAGCTTAATGACCTCATGTAGCCAAGTGATAACTCATATGAACGTTTTGCTTTGTGTATACTAAATGAAAACGATGCTAACTTCTATTATAGGTTATTGCATTTTATTACTTCTTAAGGAACAAAAATTGCTAACTTCTTCATCTGCATATGAGTAATGCTTTAAATCATGTATTAATAGTAATTAGTTTGTTCTCTAGAAGGCAAGTTCTTTTCGTTAATAACATTAGCTTGTTCTTATCTATATATGTTAACTTATTCTCTAACAGTGTGGAACTATGTCATTATGTAATGCTGAGACTTAACGGTTTAATACGTTATTAAACAAATTTGTGCTTGCTGAGTAATTTACTCATTTTCAACAGTGTGGAAATATGCTTTTATGCAATACCAATGTTTATAATACATTTTCAATTTCATGCCAAAACTACTGAACTGATTTAAATGAAATTTGGTACCAAATCAGATACTCTAGAGCCTGAGAAAGGATATAGGCTATTTATTAATTGAAAAAAAAATATTGGAAAGGGTTCAAAATATCTTTCTTTAAAAAATATACATATTTTGTTTATTTAACTAACGCGAAAAAAAACAGACAAGGCATAACATCAATGTGGTCGACTTTGATCACTGGTCTAGTAATTGTTAAGTAAATAAAAGACATTTTAGATGTTAGTAGATCCTACGTATATTGTACGTAACGCAAGTAACTATTTATCTTGTCTGGTGACGAATTTGTCAAGACTGATTCTCTACAGATCGTATTAAGTTTATAGCTCTGTCATACAACAACGTTTTCGCATCTATCCCCCATATGAAATCTAAGTGACTGAATAACTTCAGAGGTACCCGCATCTTGATTCCAGCTTTCAATTCATGGAACAGCCGATCCACATCATTAACATGAGCCAAGGGGTCACTATCCGAATAGTGTAGAAAAACAGGCACAACAATGTTGGACAATTTGTAGTTCGGTGGTCTCCGGCTACCGTATTTCCTCAAGTTTGTCACCCAGCCATGGTCGTAGCGACGGAACCCTTTTTCAGCTATACCTTGGCCATAGTGTGCAAACTGCCTTATAGCAGCACCAGCCGGCGTATGCCCCAATATTACGGGCAGCATAGTCTGCGATTAAGGAATAATGTTAATGGTATTCATATCTTTTTATTTTTTTAGGTCTAACCTTAAATAAAAAAGGTTATGGAGAGCGGACTTAATACCCAAAGGCATTCTTTACCAGTCAAGCCGGGATATAGTGAAAACTTATGATATGAATAGCTAAGTAGATAGATAAGTTAAACAAAGTACCCTATTATGAAATAAACCTATATGTATACAAAAACCTGTTTTAAGATAAGAAGGGGAAGGCGTTCATTTAAAATGTAGAAAAGCACGAGCATAATTCTAGAATACCACCTTTGTCCAATGGTGAGCCAATTTAGCTGAGAGCGAACAATGAACGATGAATATATGGTCATACTTCCGTAAACCAGAGGCGATCCAGTTTGTTTAAATGATCTTGGGAAAAATTAGCATTTCTCACATTGGTAATAAATACTACATTTGATTTAAAAAAAATTTTTTAAAGGCTTGGCGTTGACCAAAACTCCATGATATGTTGAACACCTTCAAACATAGTTCGTATTATCGTTCATATTTACTTTTGTGTCATGACCTCATCCATGGGCCCATCTCATAACCTAGTAATCACATTAGCAGTTATTTTTGAATTCTTGTAGATGGTACAATATCACACAAAAACCTTTTGTATCTAAAAACTTGCAATGTTTTATAAACTGTCCATTTTTTTTGTTTTTTATCAATATTTTACTTACATATATGCTAAAATATAATGATGGTTATATAGTTTATTGATTGAACTCGACAAAGAGATGATTTGTCAAATGACCCAAGTTTACGGTGCAGAAATACATATTAATAACCTTATTGTTAAAAATAACAAAAAAGTTTAAATTTCCATTATAAAAAACCTTAAACGTTAGTAGAAAGTATTCATACAATCAGTAGACAGCGTTACTGTATAACCCACTTACCGCATTATGTTGTTCTTTGTTCCATCCACCTATAAGGAACATTATGTTGCTACAAATGTCTTGGGTGATTGCGGCATCGTTACAGAAAGTTTCTCCCGCCCATGACATTATAATGTTATTGGGTAAGAACTCCCCGATACCAATAAGTGACGCAAGAGACTAAAAAAATGTAATATATACAGTTTTCAATGTTTACGGTGGTAGGGCCACGCAGCAGCCTCGGCTGTTGCACAAATGGGCACGCCCGTCCGGGTAAGTACCACGACCTGACAGAAGACCAGCGTAAAGTGGAAGTATGACAAATACTTTCACGTTTCGTCTGGTGAGTGAGGTAGCCGGAGCCCAATTCTCCAAAGGTTGTCAACGCATCTGTAACCCTATTCACTTAACATCAGGTATACCGTCAGGTCGTTTGGCAACTTTTCGCATAAAAAAAAAGTTTACTACAAATTGACATACAGTTTCCATCTATTCAAAATCATCTTCTATTTTTACGCGCATATTAGATTTTATTTCACGAGTTTGTATATTCAAACGAAATTTGGGAGAAGGATCAAATATAATTGTCATTAAACGCACTTAGCCATTATAATGCCATTATGGCATTATAATGCCATTATGGCATTATAATGCCTAAGTGCGTAGGCGTTATAATGTTTTATTTTTGTATTGTTACTTTACAAAAGTACTTTATTAATATTGCTGTAGAAAATAAAACTCGGGACATTTATAGCTTATTACCATTTCATATTTACCTCGATATTGTTTGCATGCGGTGCTAAGGCGTTGAAAAGAGGGCTCCGATTATGAGCCATGTACGCAACAGGGGCAAAGGCGTGCATTGAAATTATCTTTGTATTATACTGTGGTTGGAGGGAGGCCATTACAAAGAATGCTGTAGTTCCTTGAGAATGACCGACGTAATGGAGTTTGTCTTTTTCTGTATTTTTAAGTACGTAGTCTATCATAGTCGGCAAGTCTATGTTACCAATTTCATCCCAGGAGAACTCCCAAAATTTTGTATTAAGTATTCCATTAGGGTTTAAACGTACATGCCTACGTGAATAATAGTTACCACGAGCATTACCCATCCACACATCAAATCCTTCCTCGGCTAGAATGTAACCTAAAACATAAAAACAACGATAACAGATTGCAAGAATGGTAATAATTCTACGAGCATACGGTGGTTTATAAACAAATTGTTTATACATAAATTAGCTTATGCCACTTCACTTGTTTCGATGTTAATATTTTGATTATATGTCGTTTTATATTTTATTTTACTTTTATTTTAGCCAATAAATAAATTTTTTCGCGTGACAAGAAATCATTACGAAATAATGTACTTACCAAAGCCACTGCCAGGCCCCATAACAACCCAATCTGCCGATGAGCATAAAAGTCCGTGCATTAAAAATACTACGGGTTTTTTTGGATCCGGTCGATTATTTGAGTGTCGACCGTGTGGAATCCGGTGCATCTGCAGGATGTATCCATCTGGTGTAGTCACGTTGTGCACCTCCAATGGGTACTTGTATTTCCGTATCAGTCCAGGCTTGAAATTTTTGAGTATAACAAATTATTAATTACGAAGAAATTTTGAATGAATTCCAAAATAGTTTAAGGTTTATTGCATTTCAAAATGCAGTCGACATCGCACAGTATTTTTAAATACTATATAAATATATACACTTTGCTTGAGTACAGCATGCATTGAATGCAGCGAGTTTTGAAAATACACGATAATAAATTATTCTTGCTTGCAAGTTTCCATCATCTGTATTTTTGGTGTTCTTAAAATTTACAATGTATAACCGTTGATTTGAATACACGTTATCTCTGCGATCGTCAAATATCTTAAATACAGAAATCACCGTATCAAAGATTATTAGTCTACTGAAGCCATTAGCATGATTTTTACTTTTTGATATCGACCTCACAATTTACGTTAGTGAATCCAAACTTTATTACAACCTATAATAATGACGATACGAGTATTTGACAGATACGATCCTCACAGACGTGATAACATAATACTCATATTATAACGAAAAAATTCAATTTGTCTTAAATAATTTTTATTTGTCTTTTGCCAAATTCACATTCATTACTTTCTAACCTACCTACATACCATGTATCCTAGCATCAAATAAATTCAGAATATAATGATAGACTAAACACTCTTATCTTAAATATTCAAATCGCGCTTTCCTTTACATTTAGTACAGTATAAAATCCTGCAGTATACCAACGCTAATTTAAAAGACAAATTTATTTTACTTCATCATCATCATTTCAGCCTGTTAGGGTCCACTGCTGAACATAGGCCTCCTCCATAGACCGCCACAAAGTACGATCCTGAGCCACCTGCATCCATCGACTTCCCGCACATTTGCACAGGTCGTCACTCCATCTAGTGGAGGGTTGTCCTACACTGCGATGGCCAGTACGAGGCTGCCACTCGAGAACCTTTCTTCCCCAACGGTTATCAGTTATTTTACTTACCACATCCAATTTAGCATCTTCATATATATTATCTGAAATACGGGGTTTCAAAGTCTCACTTTTCACTAACTGGTCAATATAATCGGCATGTGGTGACCGACCTGCTTTCGCAAATAACACACCTAGGTATAACGCAAATATTATACGCAACATACTGAAGAACAAAAAGAGAAAAAGTCATCGCAACGAAGCCACCTGGTATTTTATAATATAGCATTATTATGATAAAGAAAGATATCATCAACATATCAATTAATATTGACGAAATAATCGCCAATTTAATCAACATTTTAATAATGTTAGGGCAATCTATCCACATATCCGTAGTTCTTATTTCAAAAATATTTTTCACTAGCTTTTCACCCACGGTTCCGCCTGCGTTTACTATATTTTATATCATCCTTAAAAAGTAACCTTTAGCCTTTCTCAATAAACGGGCTATCTAAGAATTTTTCAAATCAGACCAGTAATCCCTGAGATTAACGAGTTCAACCAAACATACACTTCAGTTTCATAACATTAGTATGGGTATTTTGCCCGCCCATCCCTTCTAAAAACTTTCGCCCATCACTACTTTCTCGTGCGGTTCAGGTCGATATCGGCCCGTCGCTTTCCATGGTTCCTGGCCCACTTCATGTTAAGCAGATGCAGGGCGAATCGAGCCTAAGGACGTTAGGTTCAAGGTCATCCTAACAGTACAAAAAAATTGTTTATATCATGTTCTTGCAAAGCTATAGCATTTTAATTTACCCAATTCTGGTGAGTCGAGAAAGACTCCACGTCGCCACGCACTGGTGGAAATATCGTTAGAGACGCATTTCGACCCGCCGCCACACCAGATGATAGTTTATGATTATATGTGCCACAGTCAACGTTTAACGGTTTTAGGGCCAAGCAGCAGCCTCGGCTGTTGCACGAATGGGCAGGCCCGTCCGGGTAAGTACCACGACATCACAGAAGACCGGCGTAAAGTGGAAGTATAAAACTTTCGCGTTTCGTCTGGTGAATGAGGTGGCCGGAGCAAAATTTTCAAAAGGTTTTAGTACAACCCTGGGGTTTAGCAGATGTCCGTGGGTGGCGGTATTCATTTAACATAAGGTGAACGGTCTACTCGCTTGGCAACTTTTCACATAAAAAAAAGTCAAGGTGTTATTACAAATGACTGATGTCAAATGATATAGTTGGGCTCACATACGTACGGAACCCCATAGTGCACGAGTCCAACTCGCACTTGGCCGGTTTTTTTTAACTTCATATAAACTTACAATCATCATCATTTTAAAGACCATAATATATAGTTAACTATAGTTTGTAAAGCACTTGTATGTAATTTATGTATTGTAAATTAGCTATTGTATGTAAAGCACTTTATCGTACAAATCTTCAATGTGGTTCTTTAAGTTGATATCACTTTTTCTTACTTACTAACCGATTTAAATAAAACTAACACTAAATGTTGAGTGATGCTTACTATTTACTTATATGAATTTATTATTACATTTCTGAAAGTTCCACCCAAATCGCTTTAACCATTTCTGAGAATAGTGCGTACAAACGCACAGACAAACAGACAAAAATTTTAAAAATAATGCTTTTGGTTCTATTGCGTTGATACATGCCCCCAATAATCTTTTTTCTTTTTACGTTTTTATTATAATAAGTATAGATTAGTTTATTGACGTCATTTATGATAATATAGTCAATGTCAAAAACCATATCATTAGAGTAAAAGACTAATTATAAACAACTTCTGCATTAAAATCGTCTTCTTATTTTGTTTTTCTTTGCCGTTTTGTTGTCTTATTGTTTTGTTAATAAAAAATATTATAGTCGAAAAAGTTACATCACGTAATTTTTTTTTTGTCTGAAAAAACGTTTTTGTAACAACTTATTTAGACATTAGCAACACCATTAGTCTTTCAGATGCGTTGCCACCTTTGTATAACCTTATTAAAAGGTGGCCTACCTGGGCCCCGGCAACCTCACTCACTAGATTGAACGCAAAAGTGTAACACTTCCACTTCAAGCCGATCTTCTGTGAGGTCGAGGTCCATCCCCGGAAGGATCTGCCCATTCGTGCAACAACGATATACATACACACGCATTTAAAGCCTGAAGTATACAAAACATCCGGAAAGGCGGATTAGGAGGATTTATCCTTGCAATATTCTTTGCAAATGACAGTGTAACAGCATTTTCTTTATGGGAGATGTTTTCGACATAACTATTAGCTTTCTGTCTTAAGAACTCAGGAAAAACGACGTCTCTTACTGGCTCAGGAAAAACGATGTACTGTAACATCCTCAAAAAAATAAGCAGGTATCACTTTTTTTGGTGCAAGTTAACCTTTCATGCTTTTGAGCACACGTCATGTGTGAAAAAATCGACAGCACCTAAGGCAATTGAATAACCAGAAATTACATTTATCTATCTCAACAAGGTATTTTTAGTGCAATGATATTTTTTTTGGTTTTAATGTTTTTATGGCAGTTTTCATCATAATTATACAGCGTGTCTTTACCATCGCGACAATAAATGAACACACGTAAATAATCATAAAAAAATATTTACGTTAAAAAAATCCATAATTAAAAAAAATATTTTTCAAACAAAACAATTAAGTAAAAAAGAAACAAAATTTGTAACATCCGATACAACTACATCTGACTGATTCATACATTCAGAGACTTTTTCATTCGTTGCCACATCGCCACTTTACAAGCCTCTCTTTCTAACAGTATGTTTTGTCGCTTTTAAATTCATTCAACCTATTCATATGCTTTGTGACCTTTACAAATAAACTTTACATTAAAGTTTTATACGTAAGGGTGTTCTAAAATTCTTTGTTTTGGACAATTTGATAACTCGTTAAATATTGATGTTTAAAGAAGGAAAGGAAAATCTTTAATACAATTTTAAAAGTTATCCTCTATATGTGTGTTCATTTATTGTCGCGATGGTAAAGACACGCTGTATACGTTCAACACCAAAGTCTGGTTGAGTGTGTGCTAGGCTATATTCCATTAGGATGTTAATTAAAGCACCTCTACCCTCTATATGAGGACACATCTCAACATACTACTCATTCAAGTGTTGCTATGGACTTTTCTTTTATGCGAATTGTGGCAAACAAATTAGTGGTTCGCCTGATGTTAAGTGATAACCTCCTCCTGTTGACATTTGCAACAAGAACCCATAAGCTTGATACGGCCCACCGCATCGGAAAATATGTCACCCATGGGCCATCAATATTCGGTATGACCGTGACCGCGATGTATTATTAAAAACAGATTGGGTTTATTAACTTTTAATTTTTTAGTGTTAACCTCTGCACTAGAAACAAAACTTAAAAATATATATATAAAACTGTCACAAAAGTTATATCGCCGCTGCCGAGATTCGAACATGCGCCGGCATCCAGACTCTAGCCACTAGGCTGAGAGGTGGATATTCTCCTTGTTCGAAAGACGACGTCTTATCCAATTGTTATATTGCTTTTTTGCAATGCTTGGTGTTATATAATGTGAATACTATACAGCAATCACACTATATCAAATCACATTTTTACAATGGTGTTTGTTATACGTCCACATCGGACCGGTACGTCCGACGTTTATTATTTGAATTATTTTGACGTTTATTACCGGAAGTCTTGTATAACATTATCTGTGCCTTGAGGGTCTGTGTTTATATATACATCATTTCTTTTGATATCAATATATTTAATAGAAGATACTATTAATATGTTCTCATAATATAGTTGTAGCCTAAAACTAAAAACCTTAAAAAATTATAATATAATAACTAAACTATCTTATTAAAAGGAGTCCCTTTAGGCAAGGTTCCGAAGATACTGGCAGCGTTCCCCCTTTGAATAGCTAGACTAATTCTTTGTCTACGGTCCAGCTCTACGGTCTCCTGTGATGTCGACTAACCTTTTTGCTATTTCCTTAAAAAGCCTTATAGCGCTAGGACCCCACGAACCAAGGGTCTCGACACCAAATGAGGCAAAATCATATTCGGAGCCTAGACCCATTTATTTGCAAGCTTTAGCTTTTTCAGCCACTTCACAAGCCGCACCAGCTCTGTTGTTGGTTCCATGTAGATGGGAAGGGGCCAGCGTGTCTAACAGGTTGCACCCCATACCAGCACCCCACCCATCTTCCATGGATTCAAACTCAAACCATCCGGTCTCTTGCCATCGTCTCTTGCAATACCAGTCGGCTCAAGTAGACTTGGCACGTTGGCCACTATTAAATCAATATTATCATATTAATATTAACGTCAAAAACCGATTCAATTAAAGATACAATGCTATAATACAAACGTGTTAAAAGTGTCACAAGACGTATATTGTACATAACGCAATTAACTATTTATCTGGTGAAAAATAATTCAAAACTGACTCTCAACAGATCGCATTAAGTTTATAGCCCTTTCATACAACAATGTTTTCGCGTCTTTCCCCCATACGAAATCCAAATGATTGAATAACCTCAGAGGTACCCGCATCTTGATTCCAGCTTTCAATTCATGGAACAGCCGATCCACGTCATTAACATGAGCCAAGGGGTCATTATCCGAATAGTGTAGAAAAACAGGCACAACAATGTTCGACAACTCGTAGTTCGGTGGTCTCCGGCTACCGTATTTCCTCAAATTCGTCAACCAGCCATGGTCGTAGCGACGGAACCCTTTCTCAGCTATACCTTGGCCATAATGTGCAAACTGCCTTAAAGCAGCACCAGCCGGCGCATGCCCCAGTATTACGGGCAGCATAGTCTACGATTAAGGAATAATGTTAATGGGATCCATACTCTTTAAAGTTTTACTTCTTTAAAAAATCATGAAAGTAAAAAATTTTTACGATGTGTGCTCACACCGGCTCCCAAAAAGCGACATAATGACATTGGTTGCTAAGCAACTTGGTTGCCATGGTAATACAGAAAATTCACTTATTGACATTTACCTATTCCCAAGTTATAACCGTTATCAATTGCATTTAATTTATTTTCATGGATATGTTGACTAACTACAAAATTTGTCCAGACTTTCGTTTATATTTACTATTGTGTAATGAAGATCGCAAATCCTTCCCATCTCATAAAGCAATAATCACATTGTTTTATAAACTGTCCATTTTGTTCGTTTTCTATCAACCTTTTTTACTTACATATGCTAAAATATGATGGTGGTTACATAGTTCTTAGTATTGGTTGGAAAAAGACCCATAGAATTTTACGGTGTAGTGGTAGACATTAAACGCTTTTACATACACTATTAATATAGAATAAAAACATTATTAATATTGCTTAAAGTTTCATATTAAAAAGTAAGAAAAAAGTATTCATATAATAAAAATCCATTATTGTATAATCCACTTACCGCATTATGTTGTTCTTTGTTCCATCCACCTATAAGGAACATTATGTTGCTACAAATATCCTGGGTGATTGCGGCATCCTTACAGAAAGTTTCTCCCGCCCAGGACATTATTATGGTATTGGGCAAGAACTCTCCGATACCAATAAGTGACGCAAGAGACTACAAAAATTTAAAATTATACAGTTTACCCCAGATTGATAAAAACTTTTCATCAATTCGAAATGTAAATATTGGATATTCTAATGTAATGAATGTTATAAATTCACAAATCGTCTATTTTTACCAACCAATTTGATTTGATTTGATGAGTTTATACATTTCGAATGCCACATAGCATTTTGTTCTAAAAGCCTTTGGGTCAAATGTAATAGTCATTAAACGTACTTATGTTTTTTATGCCATAAAAAATGGCGTGACCACGACGTAATTTGTAGGCATTATAATATTTTATTTTTGCGTTATTACTTAACAAAAGTACTTTATTAATATTACCGTATAAAAATACAATTCTGGACATTTATAGCTTATTACCATTTCATATTTACCTCGATATTGTTTGCATGCGGTGCTAAGGCGTTGAAAAGAGGGCTCCGATTATGAGCCATGTACGCAACTGGGGCAAAGGCGTGCATTGAAATTATCTTTGTATTATACTGTGGTCGGAGGGAGGCCATTACAAAGAACGCTGTAGTTCCTTGGGAATGACCGACATAATGGAGTTTGTCATTTTCTGTATTTTTAAGTACGTAGTCCATCATAGTCGGCAAGTCTATGTTACCAATTTCATCCCAGGAGAACTCCCAAAATTTTGTATTAAGTATTCCATTAGGGTTAAAACGTACGTGTCTACGTCAATAGTAGTTACCACGAGCATTACCCATCCACACATCAAATCCTTCCTCGGCTAGAATGTAACCTAAAAAATATAAAGAATGAATGAATGAATGAAATACGCGTTATTGTACACCAGATTACAAAAGCAACAAGCAATTACATAAAGGTACAATTGGCGGCCTTATCGCTTAGAAGCGATTTCTTCCAGGCAACCATGTTACATAGGATATCATTGATCAGTGAGAATAAGGGTTTAAGGTATACGCTATAGTAAACATATAATACAGAGATAAAATGTTTAGGGAGGAAAAAGTGAGTTTTAAGGATTCTTTAAGAATTTGGCGATAACAGTTTGCTTTGTCCTCCAATTCTTCTACGCGCATACGGTGGTTTTTAAATATTTTTTTTGAAGTTACTTTAGTTAGCTAACTCACTTACGAACTTATATATGAAATATCTATGTAAAATTCGACGGTTCATAAGAAAGCGCAAGCGTCTATATGAATAAAGATATTTTGAATTTGAAAATAAACTAAATAAAATTGGCTTCTGCCACTTTACTTGTTTCACTGCTAATATTTTATTTACTTATTATTAGGTACACCAACAGCACAAAATATAGTATAATTTATGTGTTCTTAGCTATACATTATATTATTAGCTATATATTATTACAGGCCTACACAACGTTTGTAAAAAAAGTTAATCACACTTATAAACTGAAATTTAAAAAATAGGAAGTGGACACTAAAGATAAATTATCAGTAAATTAAATTAAATTTTTTTTTTTGGCGTAAACAAGTTTAAATCAGTTACAATAAAAAATATTTCGGGATATATTTTTACACAACGTTATCTAGTAACAAATCAAGCACAGCTTATACTATGGATACCAGATAACGATAAAGATACATAAACGTTCGTACGTTGATTGATAAAAAGTTTTCATCAATTCAAAATGTAAATATTGGATAAAAGATCGCTCTTTTGTAAATAAATACAAATTGTGGATAAATAAACACCCAGACACTAGAAAAACACTCATGTTAATCACAGAATATTTTTTCAGTAGTAAGATCGAACCTACTCCCTATGGCGCAAGAGATGGGGTCTCTATCCACTAGGCCAATTGGGTTGCCAATTCTGTTCTATTTTATTAAATAAGAAGGAATTTAAACCTATTTTAAAGCTTTTATTATCTTTTACTTTATTTTCAACATCTCGAACTTCACTTAGGATTATGAATATATGTATAGTATTCGCTAATTTCAAAAAAATATTAAGAAATAATGTGTTTACCGAAGGCGGTACCAGGCCCCATAACAACCCAATCTGCTGATGACGATAGAAGTCCATGCATTAAAAACACTACGGGTTTTTTTGGATCCGGTCGATTATTTGAGTGTCGACCGTATGGAATCCGATGTATTTGCAGGATGTACCCATCTGGTGTAGTCACGTTGTGCACTTCCAATGGATACTTGTATTTCTGTACCAGTCCAGGCTTGAAATTTTGAGATATAACATTTTAATAATAATCACCGAGAAATTTCGAATATATCTCTAAATAGTTTTATGTTTAATGAACACCAAGATACAGTCGACATCGAACAGTGCTTTCAAATATATTGCACTTCGCTTGAGCTAACACTGCGCTATCATCGATAATATGTATTTAATTTTTGAAAATAATGGAGAAAAAGCTAATATTGCTTGCAAGTTGCCGTCCTTTCATTTTGGTGTTCATCTTGGATTTGAATAGAGATTACCTCTGTGATCTTCAGATATCTTAAACGCAGAAGTCAGCGTCTCACGTTTCGATTAAATATACTGAATCCGTTAAGCATGATTTTGACTCAATGAAATCAGCCTCACAATTAATTTTAATTAATGTAAACTCTAAAATTTCCACTATTAATAAGGATGATAAGATTAAAACCTACGATACTAACAGTCTTAATAACATAATGTTTATATTATAGCTGCCCCATTCCATTGATAGTGGACAAAATCAATTCCATATTAAACAACCTACCTACATATTTTTCCGTAGAAACTCCATAGAGGTTAAAAAATGTTTCGCTGTAACGTAATTATGGGATGTAATTAAAATTCTAGACACTTTCATGGGGTTATTGATCTTTTCCTTTTTCAAATGTAATATCTTATTCACAATTATTACTTTCTAAGGGTAAACATAAAGAATTATCTTTAACGCATGAAATAAGGAATGTAACTAGAATGAAATACATTCAGAACATAATGACGGAGTGAACACTCTTGTCTTAAAATGTTCAAACCGCACTTTCCTTTATATTTAGTACAGTACAAAAATTTTGCGGTAAACCAATGCTGAGCAAGAAGACGGATTTATTTTACTTACCACATCCAATCTAGCATCCTCATATATATTATCTGAAATGAAAGGTTTCAAAGTATCACTTTTCACTAATTGTTCAATGTAATCAGCATGTGGTGACCGACCTGCTTTCGCAAATAGCACACCTATGTATATTGCAAATATTATCCGCAACATACCGGAGAACAAAAAAGAAGTAGCTATTGCAATAAAGCTACTTGGTCTTTTATAATGTATGATTACAATGATAAAGATAGATATCATCAGCATATATGAAACAAGGATAAGAGATGATAATCAAATTGGTCAATACAATTTGATTATCATCTCTTATCCTTTAAACGAGCAATTCTTGTATATATATATATATATATATATATATATATATATATATATGTATATATATATATATATATATATATATATATCATATATATATATATGATATGTATATATATATGATATATGTATATATATATATATATATAACAACCTACGGGCAGCCCCGAAACAGAAGGCCGTGGTTCGTGTCACGATCATTTACACACTTATTTTTTAACTCTTTTTTTCGATTCCAGATCATTGCTTTCTTTATTTTTTATTTTTGTCGATCCAGATGATTTTGTTCTTTTTTTCCCCTATTTTTTAAAGTTCTATTTTAGTTCAAAATTATTTTAACATTTTTCTATGAACATTATATAATATTACTTACTCAATATAAGGAACTAAATAAACACAAAATTCTCATACTTCGTTTTTTGGCAGGTTGTCGTATATATGGAAATAACCAATATACAGTGTGTCCGGATATGAACTAGTGATTTTCTAAATACTTAAAGAAACTATTTTAAAGTACAAATACACTCTAAGCTTGGATCACAAACACTTCCTCGCTATGTGGCAGCCATTTATGAGCAAGATGATACTTCATTGATTTTTAAAATCGATCGACACTTGACGAGGTAAATAATGCTATGTCAGAAAAAGTCCGTTGGTTTAATACTAACAATTTACTATTAAATGGTAATAAAACTAAATGTATTAAATTTTTAACACCTAATTTTAAACATTTGGGTGCTACCAATGTACTTATAAATGGGTGGGAGTTAGGCCTTGTGGATACGACTGTCTTTCTTGGAATAACTCTCGATGCAAAGCTTCAATGGGGTCCCCATATATCCAACTTTGCGAATAGACTAAGATCTGCAGCGTATGCTATAAGGAAAATTAGATGTCTAACTGATGTAAAAACAGAATTGTTTATTTTAGTTATTTCCATAGCATAATGTCATATGGTATTTTGCTATGGAGGTACGCGGCTGATATAGAAACAATTTTTATTTTGTAAAAAAGGGCCATAAAAGCTTAAAGAAATAAATATATTAACGTTAGCCTCTCAATATATATATATGAAAATGTTATGTATGTACGTAGAAATATTAATAATTTTAATAAGAATACTGATGTACATAATGTACACTAGGAACTAACACAAGGTTGTAACGCGAATTACTAGACTCCATAGTGTAACTCGTTCACGGGGCGGTGTATACGCTTTTAAAAAAAAATCTCAGTAAATGCGCAAAACCTGCCTATTAGCAGGTTTAAGAATTTTATTAAAGAAAAGCTTTATAAAAAGGGTTATTATAATACAAATAAATACATTAATGACAATAACCCCTGGGAATGAGTTGATCGCTCCCAAGCTATTACTAAAAGGAAAAAAAATCTGTTGTATATTATTTTAATTTTTTTTAAGAAAAAATAATGAATGACAAAAAAGAGGATAAAAGGAAGAAAGAGGAGGAAAGGAACCTCATTAAGAAACGGTGGTAGATTTAAAAAAATATGACTATCGATAGATGAAATGTAAGTTTCTTTTTTTTTTTATCCGAATTTGTTTTGTGGTTTTTATCCTTTTTGGATATGTCAACCCCATTGTGACCATCTATGTAAGTTTCTTATGTCGATGAATAAATGATTTAGATTTTTTTTTTATTTGATTTTGTTAGGGTTTCGTACCTTAAAAGGTAAAAAAGGTTACAAGATCGTTATTTTGTCCATCTGTCTGTCCCTGTATCAACCACTTATTTTCTCAGGAAAGGGTTGGCCTAGCAAGTTACAATTTATACCAGATACTGAGGTCTATAGTCCCTATTAGGTGCATAAATCACGGTCCTGAGTCAACACGGTAAAAAGATATAGGCAAATTTAGATTTTCGCGAAAACTTGTAAGTACCAAAACTAACCTTAATTTTCAACTTTCATTTTTTGGAATTTTCCGGTTACTTATGCTGTAAAATTTTTAACCAAAGTCAACCAGAACCTATAGGTTTCAGTTTTTGAGAGTCGAAATATCCTCAAACATCAACTTTGGTGGTTTATTGAGTCTAAAGCCGAGTACGACGCCTCGGCTGTTGCACGAATGGGCAGGTCCGTCCGGGTAAGTACCACGACCTTACAGAAGACCAGCGTAAAGTGGAAGTATGACAAATACTTACGCGTTTCGCCTGGTGAGTGAGATGGCCGGAGCCCAGTTTTCAAAAGGTTGTCAACGCACCTGTAACCCTCGGGTGTAGCAGATGTCCATGGGCGGCGGTATTCATTTACGATCAGGTGAACCGTCTGCCCGTTTGGCAATATTTCACATAAAAAAGAGGCGTGCGGAAAGGCTCATTGGTGACCGTGACTTGGTTAAGACCAGTCTCACTAGCCTTTAGCACAGGCGCAGAGTAGCCAGCCTCTCGGTTTTTTATAGGTTACATTTTGGAGAATGTGCGTTGGAGTTGCACGATTTGATTTCTCTCGCCCCTTTCCATCATCGGACAACTAGACGTTCGGTGGGACTTCTCATTTTGGTGTCGAAGTTCCTCGCATAAAAACGAAATGATTCGCATCGTCATTTATCATACGTACCGTATGTAAGGAATGAAACAACCTGCCGGAGTCGGTCTCTCCGTCCCATTATAACGTAGGCGTCTTCAAGGCAAGAGTGAATATTTGTGCCCTCAGCTTTAAATAAACGTAACAAGCACGATATATTTTTTTTTTTACTTTTAAAACCTTAAGTTTTTTTATTTTCAAATACCTATTTATATATTATACTTTAATTTAAATACTTTGCGCCGTAGCTCAGCGGTATTCGTGCACGTTTTTTGATTGTAGACATCTAAATTCGACCGAGGTACAAAACCAGCAAGCATTCTAAAATACTTTTATCGTCACATTTAAAAATTCAAAATAAATACACCGTGTAGTGCCTGCACAAAATCAATTAAATCTTCAGAAATCAGTCTCAGTCTTGCTGTGAAAAAATTACTTCTTATGCGTAAACTTTACATTGACAATTTTAAAAACAATAAATTGGAAGTGCTCTCATTGTGCAATTAAACTGTTGTCCTTATCGTGGAAAGAAGGTAAGATACGCCGCTCAAACTGGCGAACAGTGGCGATAGCTTTGATGACTCATACGATATAAAAACAAGACGTCATCACGAAGCGTAGATCAGTTAACAGCGCATATTAATAAATTATCGATTAAAGTCAAAGATTTGGAAGAAAGATTATCGCTGAAGGAACAGGTTTTTTCATCAATGAAAAATAGAAATTCTACAAAACTTAATACAACTATCAATGTGAGCAAAATAATATCCTTCGTTATAATAGAAAATAATATTCTATCCTGCAATCGAGTTTAAAAGCTAAACAACTCTTCATTCAAAGGTCTGTGGTATGCAGCTATTATTTTTTTAGAGGTGTCCGTTACAAGTTACAAGACAACTATAAAAATGTTTTATTTGAAAAAAATCATACGATAATATTTTCAGAAATATGGCTAAACAGCTCTGTGTCTAGTCCTGAACTGTTCGATGTTAAGTATCAAGTTTTCAGAAGAAACCAACAGATGTCGGTGTTCTCATTGACGTGGATAGGAATGTTATTATGCCATTATAAATTTATCCCTAAAAAGTACTTATGAAGATTTGCGAGTAACCCCAGAACAAAGCCTAAGTAACTTCACAAATTTTAATGTTTAATCTAATTAAATGCAGAGATGTGTGTGCACTGTAGTGCATTATATTAAATTTCTAAAAAAGCTATGGCGACATCTCTCGCACGAAATTTGTTGTAAAACGATATTCGAAATTGTTTGCATGCTGGAAAGGATATAACAATGGATGCTCCAAAAATTGCTTTAAATGCTAAAAACAATATAGATAAGACATTTGGATTTACGTCGGTGTGGCAATCAGCCGTTTAGCTATTCACGGTTGGTATTTGTAGAACCTTATCAAGCTTGTTAAAGAAAACGAAATTCAAAAAGTATAATAACAAACTAGATGAGTACGAATATCCATGCATCCTCGTCCAGGGAAGTAGTTACCGCGGCCTCACAGAGAATTGACGTAGAGGAAGACATTATACTTTTGCGATTCTTCGTGTGAGTGAGATAATCGGGGCCTACGTTTAAAGGTTGTCAAAGCATTTACAAGACCTTCAGGTTCTGTAAATGTCCATGGCCGGCGGCATCTATACAAAAATAATACATAATTTTTTTTTAATTATGCGTAAAAATACATTAAATCAATATGGACAACATTACACACACTACCATCTATTTGACACGAACACACATATACTTTTTTGTTTATTATGTATTGTATTTAAGAATAGATTAATATTGTTCACACTTGGTCGAATTTCGACCACTCTGCGTCCACTAGTATGTTTAATATTATAATAGATATTAGAAAGACGAAAAGATCTTATGAGCATATCTAATCTTCTTACATAAGCTTGTGAAACTAGTCTGTTGTTCTCTTTTAATTGATATCAATATTCCCAGAATTGGCAGTAGAATTCACAATTAAAACACACACCCTTAACATTAGCGAAATCTGCCTACAATCACATAAAAAATTAAAATCAATGATATCAATAAAAAATATACAATGACGTTAAAAATAATTAATTGAAAAAATTATACCCATAATAATTTCTTTTATTAACGCACCCCCGGCCCTGGGGAGCCCCCAAACGCCTTCATGTTTCCTTGAACAAATCCTAAACAGGGTTTTCAAATTATGCCTTGTGCCCATACAAATATTATTTCTTTCAGATAAAATACAAATAACGCAATAAATATAGTCTGAACTGATAATTTACAATTTATAAAT